TTTTTTTTTTTTTTTTGTAAAAAAAAAAAAATTAAAAAAAAAAAAACAAGTAGCCACATATCTGTATCTTTCTTAGGCTCTTCAGCACTAATGAGATGCTGTGGAGCCAAAGGAAGCGAGAAACAGTTTTCTATTTTTGTTATAACAAAAGTACTAGAATCTGCTGTGCAAGCTGACAGTTCACACAAACACATAGTATGTACATACAATCCCACTCATAAACACTGAGTTTTTGAAATTCACCAAGAATCAGCAAGTGTAGAAGCTTTTTACAATACTTACGCAGAGACTATTTCTTCTCCACTAACAAATTTTGCATATGAAACAGCTTTGCGGTGCCCTTTGAAGACCATAATGGGCTGTTTAGTGTTCCGAAGATCATAGTAATGGACACAGTGATCTTTGGAGAGATGTAAAAAAACAAGGATATTAGTCAAGTCAAGATAGAGAATAATGCAGAGACAGATTGAACATAAGGCTACTTAGTTTGTGGGGGGGGGGTTCTCCCTGGGGCTCTATTTCCCATTTATTCTAATTATCAAACAAGACATCTTTCTAATTCTTCCTGCCTAATTACGAGAAATACACATTTCTTCGCATAAAAGAAAGAAGTCCAGATTATAGCTCCACAACTGTTACACCATTTTTCTGAAAGTGCTACATAACCCCAGAACTGTGTGGGCCATTAAGCAAGGACCACATGTGACTGCGATGTGGGAAAAGGTGGGAGTTCCAGGCAAGTAGGCTGGTGGGTGATAGCTACGGGTGGGCGAGCAGATGCCATGGGCGGGCATGCAGGTGCCATTGGCAGGCGCTACAGAACATGGGTGGGTGGGCAGGCAGGTGCTATGGAACATCAGCGGGTAGGTGGGCAGGTGCCACAAGCAGGTACTACGGAGCATGGGCAGGTGCCATGGGGCAGATGCTACGGGGCACAAGTGGGTGCCGTGGGCAGGTGCTACGGAGTGCAGGCACGGAAAAAAGTGGCAGGAGCAGGAACAAATTGTGACCTCCTGCTGGCTTCTTCATTGATTTTGCTTGTGGGAACCTGGCAGGAAAGGTTGCAAATGGCAATCGTGACCATGAGATGCTGCAACTGTTGTAATTGTGAGCCAAGTGCCCAAATTGTGATCACATGACTGTGGGGATGCTGCCACAGCTGCAACTTTGTGGACTAGCCATAAGTTCCCCCGGTTCAGTGCCACTGTAACTTTAAACAGTCCCTGAATGAGTGATTGTAACCCAAAGGCTACTTGCAATGTGGGGAACTATTGTTTGGAAAGAGAAATACCTGTTTAGGTATATGAGAGAGAGAGAGAGATACTCACACCTATCCCTTTATCTTTTGACCAGCCTTTTTCAGAGATGAGCAACTAAATTGTGAAGAGAACTATTAACAGGGAGAAAATAAACACTAACTACCTAAGACTGGCCTTCTAATTAAGTTCTCAAAACATTGCTGCTGCCAGCATTTTTTTAATCAATTGCTGTCAGCCTTGTGAGGTAGTCCAGACAGGAAGCATGCCCACATGAACTAATTCTACTTTATTGTAAGGTTACATTAACAGAATCTTGTAAGTCTGAAAGTACCTTTCTCCCCTGTCACATTTACAGCCCAAGAAAATAGGGAGGGTCCCTTCTAAGATGTTTGCCATGTCCATATTCCTTCTGTGGGCTAAGCTCTTATCCCACTGTTCCCCTGGCTATGGCTCTTCCCCATCTCCCAAAGCCATTCCCACATCTGCCAGGAGTTAAATGCTGCCTGGCACCCTCTAAACCAAAGTCCTCCACCCCCCCCCCAACTTAACTCCCATAGATTTTAATAGATCTCCTAGGCTTGGTTCTGATTCCCAGAGATCACTACCTCTTGTTACCCCAGGAGGAAATACTACTGTGTAAAAGAAAAGCCCCTATAGGTTTTTATTTGATGAAGTGCCTGAGATGCACTTCAGTTTGTAATGCATTCAGACAATCTCCATCTCTGCTGATGATATCAGCTGACCTCAGTAACCAGAGAAGGGACCCTGGCTCCATGGTTCACAGAATCAGTGTCCAGCAAGAATGTAGTAGGAGGCTGAGTGGCAACCAAGCCTCTGTCAAGCGAGCTCTATGCACAGTGTCAACAGGATGAAGGGAAAGAAGCAGAACTGCTTGCCTTCAGTGATGACTCAGCAAAAGGATTTTGCTGCTGAGTCTGTGTCCCCAGAGAAGGATAAAAAAGATAGGAATTTGAGCCCAAGGAAGCCCCTGCCTGGAGACCAACAATTCCTATCACCCCAATTAGAGGCTGATGGAAACTATAAGCTAAATATACCCCACCACTGCCTTATCACCTGGTTATAATTGTTATTTGCCAATCTCAGCCAAGTACCCACTAATTACATGGCTGGGTAAGCCAGATTCAAATTTTTCTGATGTCTTAATCATGATTAGATTGGAACATAATGTAGACTCTCCCTAGTTTATATCTTCATTTTTTCAGAATTAATTATGTGGGCAAATGAAAGGATGGTCCAAAGGCATCAGATGTGATGCAAGCTATCACTTAAATGTTATCTCTGACCGACTAGCCCTTCAGCAGGTTTGTTTGCCCTGCCTTGCAGTACCCCACATTCAGCATGCAGGTGTTGCTCTTCCTGCATCATTGGTGGATTGAGCCCAAGCAGATATCTGCCAGCATCCTTGCTGAAGGATGTCTCATGCTGGAGAGTTCAGGTACAGGTGAATGATGCTTTACACTAAGGTACTGGACTTGACTGACATGGCAGATGTGGTAGGGGTAGCTATGATAGGCATGGCTAAATACCAGCTATCAGGCCAACCAAACTTCAACCATAATTCATAGTTGTACACTGTGAATTTCAACATGAAGGCGGCAGTCAGGCAGGAATAGCTTGTCAGCATCAGCTACCAACATAGACTGTGCTTCACTGTTCAGGATGCCCTGATTGAGCTCACACTGCCACAGATAAATATGATAGGACTACTGGATATTTCCGTTAGAGTGTAAAGAGGAGGCAGATGCTTGACCAGCTTGAGATCCAACTTAGTTTATTTCTAATTACACCTAATTTCTCAGGATGCTTCCATGTAATAAATTCTATCTACTGTACTAGGTGTTCAAATAAATGCTTGATCAGCAGTGGTACTGCACAACATAACACTGCAGAATGAGATGTGTCTCCTCAACCAGCAGGAGTAAAGACTCACCAAAACTATTCTGTGAATTTGCAACTGATCTACAGACTCAGACAACAACATTTGTAAAAGGGCATAGGAGTTTTTGGGACAATGCTAGAAGTTTCTCTAAACAGCTGCAAAGTGACCAAAGTGGTCTCTAGATCATTTCAGCCTCAACAAATCTGTTTGTCTAATATTCATTAGACTCACTCTTACATTCTAGTTACAGCAGAATAAAATGAACATTTCTCTGGAAAGAGGTTTTATTAATAACATCTGAATGCAAAATAATAATAAAATATTTGTCAATGCTTTCTTTTCAGCTGAAAAGCTAGAATCTATATTTAAAACACCTTTGAAATAATATGGACAATATATTAATCTATGGCAGGAAGAATGACAAGTATGGGGAATAAATGAAGTGAGACAAAACATCTGCTTGCAACTTTGAATTCTCCCTCCAAATACTGCAATAAACAACTGTAATCTTGATGGCATATGGCTCCAGCCCAGCACACATAGCATATGCTATCAATCACCTCCTGTTCTGCTTACTATCTGAATGGCTATTGGGCTCTTAAATTAGTCAATCAATAATTTATTATTTTAGAAGGTAGTCTCCATGCCCAATTAAACTTTCATTATTTTTTCATTCATCCAAAGTTGCAACTTTCGAGTAGCTACATCAAGTTTAATGACCATCGCATTAATTAGTGCCTGAACAGGTTGCTATGTTTCCTAGTTAAACATTTCATCTCACTCACTATATTTATTTGTTAGATTTCTCTCTTGCCTTTTTCTTCAAGAGCTAAAAACAGCATACATATCACTCTCTCCCCACAGTTTTTCCCCACAAACACCTACTAAGATAGGTTGAACAGAGAGACTGTGTATGCATGACTGACCCATTTATCTAGTGAATCTGTATGGTTGAGGGGGGATAAGAACCTGTGACTGTCAAACACTGTAAACACTACATCCACACTGATACACAACAGACCATTTGAATCTTCCACTGAACAAGATAAACGTATGATCTAGTAAAGACGACAGAATTTATTGCATTTACTGTAAGTAAGAAATATAAAAATCTCAGGTACTCCAATCACTGCAGTAGCTTCTCAAAATGATTTATGATGGACTGAAATTGTCACAGCTGATACCATTTAGGGCTTTCCTATCCCTCTTGGACTATACAATTTAAGATGCTCTAAAAACAGACAATTCCAATAATATTAAGAATCAAGAACATACCAAGGAGAGAGCTTCCAGTGAGGAAATGGCGAACTGACTTCCCACAGAGAGTGAGAAACATTACGGCTGAAAATGGCAGCTGGGTGCCAGATCCAGACTACTGAAATCTCTCTGGAGAAAGGAGAGATCTTGAGATTGCCCATATGTACCCCAAACACCTGTTTTTTGTGAGTAGACGGCAGAAACAGACATTTTTGTGTTCAGCTTGCAAACAGCTGGGAGTTGCAGGATTACATCAAGCTCATAGCCCTCAATGTAGTCTCTATGGACTCAAAGTTCAACCGAACCTCACTTCTGAATCACTCTGGATTTTTTTTTCCTACTGCTTTTTAAAGATTGAGAACCTTCAGAACCACAAGTTGGATCATATTCATTGGGTGAGGGTTTTTTTTTCAATCTTCTAAGAAAGAAGTTTTAATTATAAGTTTAAGGTCTGGCAAAAAAAAAATGTTTTGTTTTTGGAATATACAGCAAAAGGGTGATTACAGTATTGATTTTAGAAAGTTTTAAATGGATTAAGGGCCCAGATGGACTTGAATTAAATTAATTAAAAGTTTAAAATTAACTATAAGAATCTTTCCCATGGGAAACTTTCTATGTTTAAATCTGGGGGAAAAATATCTGATGACTTTGAAGGTTGGTCACTAGAGGGCACCAGAAGGAAATAAATACATCAATGGATCCAATGAGAGAGATTTATGACTACTGGGCTCAAAAAATTATTTTAAAGTTATCTGCTATGATAAAAAAACTAGATGGTGTCACTGAAGAGGAACAAGTTCCATCGAATAAAACTGAAATCAATTTGAATGTGGATTTAAAAATGATAGCCTATAAGAAAGAGATGGAAAAAGATGAAATATTGGATATACAAATGAAATCAGCTAATGACTTAACAATTAAAAAAGACACCCAAATACTAAACCAGAAGAGTGATGTAAATAACCTCTTTATATTGAATTTACA